AAAGAAACAAGTCAAAAACCTTTGATAATTATCAACTAAAAGAAACATCCTCATATATAAACCAATTTCTCAATTAGATAGAATAAATACATGGTTGATTTTAAGTTATTTTAATCACCAGGCTGGTGGCAAACACTTTTAATCCTAGCGCTCAGGGTCTGAGGCAAAAGAATCATGAGTTTAAAGGTAGCCTGTACTAAATAGCAAAATCCAAACAAAGCTGGGCACTGGTGGCTCATAATTATAATCATAGCTATTCAGGAGGCTGAGATCTGAGGAACAAAATTCAAAGTAGCCTACACAGAAACATCTGTGAGATTCTTAGCTCCTATTAACCAGCAAAAAGCCAGTTAGGTATCAGTGGCTCACTCCTGTAATCCTAGCTACTCAGGGGCTAAGACCTGAGGATAATGGTTCAAAGCCAGCCTGGGCAAGAAAGTCCCTGAGACTCTTTTTTTTTTTTAGGTCCGGTCGTAGGGCCTGAATTCTGGGCCTGGGCGCTGTCCCTCAGCTCTTCAGCTCAAGGCTAGCGCTCTACCACTTGAGCCACAGTGCCACTTCTGGCTTTTTTTCTTTTTTCTTATGTGGTGCTGGGGAATCAAACCCAGGGCCTCAGGCATGCAAGGCAAACGCTCTACCACTGAGCCACCTTCCCAGCCCAAGTCCGTGAGATTCTTATCTCCAATAAACCACCAGAAAACCAGAAGTGGCACTGTAGCTCATGTGGTAGAGCACTAGCCTTGAGCTGACGAGCTGAGAGACAGCACCCAGCCCAGAGTTCAAGCCCCACGACTGACAAAAAGAAAAAAAAAAAAGGAAAAAAATATGTAGTTTAGAGACTGGGAATATGGCTTCGTGGTAGAGTGTTTGCCTAGCATGCACAAAGCCCTGGGTTGGATTCCTCAGTACCACATAAACAGAAAAAGCCAGAAGTGGTGCTGTGGCTCCAGTGGTAGAGTGCTAGCCTTGAATAAAAAAAGAAGCTCAGGGACAGTGCCAGGCCCTGAGCTCAAGCCCCAGAACTGGCAAAAAAAAAGCCTTCTAAGGAGAAAAAGAAAACACTTTGTTTTTTCACACAAGAGAAGTTAACTACATAATTAAATTTCATAAACTCCCTGTTACTGAACCCTGGGTCCTTTTTCCTCCACTAAATACAGTCTCTAAGACTCTGGTAAGGCTGCTGCTATTTGATATATGGCACTTCAGACAAGCAGGACTTTGATCAACTCCTACAAACACACTACCTGGCTAACCAAAGCTGCTAGTGACCACATCTCCCCTGATTATCTACATCTGTATTCTGAAATGCCTGCTCTAAGACTAAGTGCCCCATCCAGCTGTGTAGCCAATCCTTGTTACCTGGCAATCTCCTGGTGGTAATCATAGTGCTCATCTTCCTCCAGCCATTCCACAGATCCTGTGGTTGGATTGGCTCGTCCACAGAAGACCTTCATGGTGCCAACCAGCTTCCTGGTGTTGGGATAGAGAAGCAGCCCTCCAAGTTCACTTCTTAGGGACAAATTTGATAGTCAGAAATCTATTCAATCATGCACCCAACCATCAAGGGGCTGGGGGGTGGAAGAAAAGAGGAAAAAAAATCAAGAAATTTACAAAAACATTGAAACACTTCAAAGTATTTGTTAATCAGTATTTTAATATTTCCAGGAAGAAACCCCTTAATTATATACTCAGCATATAAAGAGCTACAATAAAGGAGCTGGGAATGTGGCTTACTGGTAGAGTGCTTCCTAGCATGCACAAAGCTCTGGGTTCTATTCCTCAGTACCACATAAACAGAAAAAGCTAGATGTGGTGCTGTGGCTCAAGTAGTACAGTGCTAGCCTTGAGCAAAAAGAAGCTCAGGGATAGTGTCTAGGCTCTGAATTCAATCCCCAGGATTAAAAAAAATGTCATACTAAGCCCCCAAAAATTTGAAATGCGTGGCAGTATGGCTCAACTAACAGTACCTACCTAGCAAGCTCAAGGGCCTAAATTCAAACCAGAGTATGACCAAGAAAACAAAAAGGTAAACCAGGTGTCGGGGGCTCACGCCTGTAATCCTAGCTACTCAGGAGGCTGAGATCTGAGGACTTCAGTTCAAAGCCAGCCTAGGATGAAAGTCTGTGTGTGACTCTTATCTCCAATAAATCACTCAGAAAATGGAAAGTGGCGCTGTGGCTCAAGTGGTAGAGCACTAGCCTTGAGCTGAAGAGCTGAGGGATAGTGCCCAGGCCCAGAGTTCAAGCCCCTTGACAGACAAAAAAAAAAGGAAAATCACAGAATGCCTGTTCCACACCTACCCATCATCTTCTTAAAAACTAGCTTCAGGCTGGCACGAGTGGCTCACGCCTGTAATCCTAGCTACTCAGGAGGCTGAGATCTGAGGATCACAGTTCAAAGCCAGCTCGGGCAAGAAAGTCCGTGAAACTCTTATCTCCAATAAACTACCAGAAAACTGGAAGTGGTGCTATAACTCATGTGGTAGGAGTGCTAGCCTTGAGCTGAAGAGCTGAGGGACAGCACCCAGGCCCAGAGTTCAAGTCCCAAGACCGGGGGGAAAAAAAACTAGCTTCAAAATCTCCCTATTCTATTAGTCAGAATTTTTTTAATGCTCTTTTGAAGTTACCTAGTCTAAGTAAACATGAAATTCTTCTAGAAAGACAGGAAAATAATCTTTCCTGAAATGATGCTGTCACTAGCCTGGCTCAAAGTACTCAAATTGTCTTCTGGGAACACCCTTCTAAGTCAGGTGCCAGTGGCTCATGCCTATAATCCTAGCTACTCAGAAGGATCTGAATATCCTAGTTCAAAGCAAGCCAGGACAGGATAGTCCATGAGATGCTTATCTCTAATTAGCTACCAAAAAGCCAGAAGTAGAGCTATGGGTAGAGTGGTAGCCTTGAGCATAAAAGCTCAAAGGCAGTGAGTGCCTTTTTTTGAAGACAGAAAACCCACAACTATCAGAATCTGTAATGTGCTTTGGAAAATTATGTCCACCAAATGCTATGTCAGAAATTATCATATGTGGCTTGAATATTCAGGATAGACTTAAAAGATGGATAGTATTGGGAGGGGCTATTTTATTGTATCAGAAAGGTCTAGACAATCATATACACTAAATAAATTAGTTTGGCTAAAGTGAAAATGAACAAGTGAAAACAAACACATCAATAAGATCCTCATGGGGAAGGATCCAGAAGCCCTTATCCTATGGTTCACGTGGAATCAATTTTAAAACCATTTAAAAGATAAAACTGTAAAGAACTTTAGTCAATGGAATTCCTTTCTTCTCTGTGATGTGGCTCAATCTAGGATTACAATGTTTTTTTTCGGTGGCTCAGTGGTAGAGAGCTTGCCTTGCATGCATGAAGCCCTGGGTTCAATTCCTCAGCACCACATAAGCAAAAAGAAAAAAGCCGGAAGTGGCGTTGTGGCTCAAGTGGTAGAGCACTAGCCTTGAGCTGAAGAGCTGAGGGACAGCGCCCAGAGTTCAGGCCCCACAACAGGACCCCCCCCCAAAAAATATAGAGATAGGCTAAGGGTGAGGTTCAAAGATAGAGCACTTGCCTAACCTGTACGAGACCAATACCCAATTTTAGAGGAAGAGATTATACAGAAATCTAAATAATTACTTTTGGGGGTACATGATGCTGGGACGTCAAGCCCAAGGTCTCATGCATGCAAACTCTACCTCTGTGCTACATCCTATCTTTACATAATGAAGACGGAACCATGTTTTGGTTTCCAACTCTATGAAGGAACAAACTGGTTCTAGTTAAAAACTATATATCCTTTATCAGTAACTTTCCTCAGGTATTGCTGTAATTTGTTCTCTCTCAGAAGTCCATACTTCGGATTCAAGAGAGCTCTAAGATCTTCTTCCTAATCTTCAAGAGTTGAGAACGCACATGGTCATTTACAAGGAATGAATGGAAATCACCTTCCCAAATCTCAATCATAAGAAGCATAATCATAAACAACCTAACCATAATCATTGTAGTTCTAGTATTGGAGATCAAGAACCTCTCTGATGCAAGGCAAACTCAATACTACAGAGCTACATCCCCAGTTCGCATAGAGAATAACGGAAAGAAAATAGGTCATGGATGGATAGGTTAGGCTAAAGTTGTGTAAGAGTAGTTTCTAATATGTGGATATTTATCCAACTTTTCAATGACAGGGCCCTAAAGTAGAAGTACAAGATGCAAAAGGAAAACGTGACAAAAGTCCACTCAGAATTTTGAATAAAAGTGCAAAGAGCAGAGGAACTGATGGCCTTCTGGAAGTGACACCAGGCTTTCCACTTCGGTGCATGTCTATACCGTGCGATACGTCTACCTCGGGTGCATCCCTTTACAAAACTACTCCAGGTGAGCTGACAGAATGCTTTCCACTCGTACTTAATACTAATCCTCGGAATCGTGACTTAATAAAGGCCAGCTACCAGCATCCCAGCACCTAAGAGCACAGGGCCAGTTTCGTGTGCGGAGGCTGAAGCAGTGTGAGGTCTGGCTCCAGAGAGGCGCCGGGCACGAGTACCGTCAATGACCCGGGCCCGGCGCTGGGCTCGGCCACAGACCCTGCGAAGGCTCTCAGCAGGCCAGACTGCAGGGGCGGGCGGGCCTGCGACCTCGCTCTCCCGTCGGCCACGGGGCTCCCACTCTTTCCGTGAGGACTCAAGAGAATGTCCGGCAGAGACGCGTGTCCTGGCGTCCAAGCACAGCCACACCAGACGCCTCTGCCAGAACCCTAGAGGTAAGGGAAAGATGATGGCGGTCCCGGGGACTCCAACCACACGACCCCCACCTTCTCAGAACACCCAGCACCTCACCGGCCTCTCTCTGACCAACCCGCTCACCTCCGCCGCCATCTTGCCGCGGCCAGCATGTGGGGGCGGGGCATCCCGACATCAAAGCAGAACGTCCCGGGGGCGGGGCCAGGAGCGGAAGGAGAGGGCTTCCCTATTTCACGCCGCGTTTTCCCACAGTCCTCCGCGACCGGGGCTATGGAGGCCGGAAGGACGGCGGTGCTCCGAGTGAAGCGGAAGCGCAGCGCGGAGCCTGCCGAGGCTCTAGTGCTAGCTTGTAAACGCCTCCGAGGCGCCGAGGAGGGGTCGGCCGCTCAGAAGACTCCCGAGTGTCTGGAGAGCACGGCGGAGAACAATGTCTTCCAGCTGGTGGCCACCGTGCGCTCCCAGGTACGGGGCGGCGATGGAGTCTGTGGGGAGGGGATCTTAGGGTACCGCTGGAATTCCAGGGATGCCCTGACCCCCTCACACCCTTGCTGATGCCGTTCCCCGCTCCTGCCTGTCCCCCCACCCCCCAGGAGGAGCCACTTCAACCCCTCGTGCGGGCTGCCCTTCGCCCTTCCCGGGACAGCCAGCAGCGCATCCGCCGCGATCTCCGCGCCTCAGCTCGGGAGGTCCGCAAAGAAGGCCGCTACCGGGTGGTCTCCAGCCGCCGGGCCTCCGGGACCTCTGGCAATCTGGAAAGCCAGTGCGCGCCAGAAGCTGCCGAGGATGCAGGCTTCGAGCTGTTGGACCTGATCCACGAGGAGAAAGACCCAGAAGGTGTTGTCACGGATTCCTGCACAGTAAGCACCCAGAAGTGGGCCCTGGCAGTCTGGACTGTTGTACCAGGAGTCTGCGACCGAAAATAGGGACGGTTGTGATCTGTTTGGAGTGATGGCCTCATTTTACCGATTTGATTTACTTTTGACATGTGTATACGAGCGCCAGACGTTGTTCTTAGATTCTGTTGAACAGTAATGAGGAATTCAGGGAGATGAGAAAAACATAAAAATTAAAATCAGTGTAAGGTGGCAATACAGGTTGGGGGGGGTGCGAAACACTAAACAAGTGGACCCTATTTTTAGTAAAATCGAACTTAAATGAAAAAGACATGTGAGTGAAGATTTAAAGAAGCTGAGTAGCAAGCAGAGGCATTGGGGATATCTTGGAGAGAGGCTTTACGGGCAGAAGTCTTGCAAGAATACAGGTGGTTTAGTTTATACCAGGTCAGTATGCCTGGAGTCCAGAGAGATAACATAGTAGTAAGGAATTGGAAGGGATGCTTTCTAGACCCTGTAATGTTTGTAAGAAAATTGCTTTTCACTCTTAATGAAATGCAGGATCAGTGGAGCAAAGTAGATAGGGAAATTGATCAAAGGTAGAATAGAGACTAGATATCCCCAATTATCAGTAACTGAGCCCATAGTCCATGGGACCAAGAAAATTGAAATCAATACAGAGAACTATAGCAGGCCTGCCTTCATCCAACTCTTGGAACATGTTTTGAGTCATTCATCTATCATCTGTATTTTTACAGATAGCTGACCCAGATGTGATTCTCTGCAATTCTGTAGAGTTAATACGTGAGCGGTTGGTTATATCTGAAGATGGACCAGAAGTTGGGCGCCAAGAACAGAAACATGAAGACTATGTGTATGACATTTACTACTTAGATATGGCCACTCCAGGATGGATTGAGAACATTCTTTCTGTGCAGCCCTATAGCCAAGAGTGGGAGCTGGTAAGGGGTTCCATAAGGAGCCAGCGTGTGGCAGCCTCTCTATCTCTTGTCAGGGTACTGTGCCTTTCAACATTCTAGTCCTGATAACATTGTTCTTAGGTCTTGTTACTTAAAAGGAAAAATTTGAGGCAAGTGGCCAAAGTGGTAGAGGGCCTGCCTAGCAAGCGCAAGTTCCTGAATTCAAGCTGCCAAGTATATGTGTATGGAATGTGTGAGTGTATGGTTTTTTTTCTTTTCTTTTCCTCAAATACTTTTACAAACCTAATTTAGTGCAGAGAATTTAAGGAAAAACCATCAGTATTTATAGATTTTTTTTTTTCTTTGCTAGTCTTAGGGCTTGAACTTAGGGCCTGGATACTATCCCTGAGCTTCTTTCACTCAAAGCTACCACTTGAGACACACCACTATTTCTGACTCTGTTTATGTGGTACTGAGAAATCAAACCCAGGGCTTTATGCATGCTAGGCAAGCACTTTACCAGTAAGCCACATTCCCAGCCCCGCCACCCCTTTTTTTTTTTAAGTCAGTCATGGGGCTTGAACTAGGGCTTGGATGCTGTCCTAGAGCTCTTTCACTCAAGGCTAGCACTCTACCACTTCGAGTCACAGAGCCACTTCTGGTTTTCCAATGGTTAATTGGAGGTAAGATTGTCATGGATTTTCCTGCCCAGGCTGGTCTTGAACTATGATCCTCAGATCTCAGCCTCCTGAATAGCTAGATTACAGCTGAGCCACCAGTGCTCAGCTGTTTATAATTTATGTTAATAAGAAATCTTTTACAATGTTTACAAGATCTTTATGGCTGGAATATGTGTAGAGGCATTTAATAAAGTAATCTAGATGCTTTTAATAAAAATGACAGCAAAAGGGCTGGGAATATGCTTGCCTAGCATGTATGAAGCCCTAGGTTCAATTCCTCAGTACCACATAAATGGAAAAAAAACAGAAGTGGCGCTGTGGCTTAAGTAGTAGAGCACTAGCCTTGAGCAAAAGAAGCTCAAGGACAGTGCCCAGGCCCAGAGTTCAAGCCCCAGAACTGGCAAAAAAAATTAAAGAGCAAAATAATTTTTAATTTTAAAAGAGGAAAGAACGTTAGGTGGTGAAAGATAACATCCTAACACCACTATTCTTTTTTTTTTTTTGCTTTTTTTTTTTATTGTAAAGATACTATACAGAGGGTTACAGTTACATGAGTGAGGTAATGAGTACACTTCCTCTTGAACATTGTTAGCCCCTCCATTGTTTTCCCCCTACCATCCCCTCCCTCCCTCCCTTCCCCGAAGTTCTTTTTTTTTGATTGTGATTAAGTGATTACATAATTTCTAAGTCACAAGTTCATTCTAACTTTCCTGGAGCAAATTGTCTATCACAGTCTGTAATATATAACAGTGTTCACATGTTATATACCATATTTGCTAACACCACTATTCTTAAGTTCTAACATCATTAATGAGAAAATCAGAGATAGTATCTGCTACACTAATAATGTAAGACAAGCACTTTATCCTCTCACCTGCACTACTACCAGTTTCACAGTCATACACCTGTTTGGACCAATGCATGGCCCTCTACCCCTGCCTTCCCATAGCTGGTACTTTTAAATTTTGTTCCTGGTCTTTGGCATTAACCACATTCCATACAGTCCCTCTCCCCCATGACTGCCATTCAGGAATTTGAAGATGGTTGCCTTATCTACTCAGAGCTGTTGCTCCTCTACCCTGCTGATGGAGTTGGAATGTGGTATTCTGAAATTGGATTCTGGGTAAAACAGGGCTCTTTGCCCACTCATAACCTAAGATCACTACAGCCTCTTTTGCAGCAGTCAAATTAACCCCCTAGTCTACCTTTATCACCTGGCACCTTTCTCTGAGTCTTCCCACACTGATATGCTAACAGTTCCCACAAACTTCATAACCTTGGAAATTTTCATTAGACTCATGTTTGCTTTGAGATGTGCAGGTGAATGATGAACAACCAGCAGAGGACATTTATGAAGATGAAGATGATGAGAACAGTGAAAATAATTGGCGCAATGAGTACCCAGAGGAGGAGAGCAGCGATGGAGATGAAGATTCCAGAGGTTGGTGGCAGCCCAGATAGGGCGGGGACTAAGTATCCAAGACTAAGGTCTAAGAGCGATAGTTTTGTTGTAAATGACTTTCCTTCTCTGACAGGGAACAGTGTTTTCAGAGAAACTGCTGTGAGGTCAGTCAGGTGTAATGTCAGGCAGGCCTGTGCTCAGATCCTTATGTCATTGCTTATCTGTGGTTTCAGGCAAGTTACTTTACTTTCCTGAGCTTTATTTATTGTCCTTTTTCCTATTCTTCTTTTTTGGGGGGAGGGGGGCCCAGTCGTGGGGCCTGAACTCTGGGCCTGGGCGCTGTCCCTCAGCTCTTCAGCTCAAGGCTAGCGCTCTACCACTGGAGCCACAGCGCCACTTCCGGCTTTTTTCTTTTTGCTTATGTGGTGCTGAGAAATCAAACCCAGGGCCTCATGCATGCAAGGCAAGTGCTCTACCACTGAGCCACCTTCCCAGCCCCTCCTTTTTCCTATTCTTATCAAGAAAATATTAAGCCAGGTATGAGTGGCTTATACCTGTGATCTTACCTTCTCAGAAGATTGAGATCTGAGAATCAGTTTGAAGCCTGCCTTGGTAAAGTAGTCTTTGGAATTCTTATTTTCAATTAACTGACAAAAAAAAAAAAACAAACTGATCTGGAAGTGTGGCTTAAGTGGTAGAGTGCAAGCCATGAGCCAGAAATAAGTATTAAGCTAGGCTTAGGCCTGTAATCCCACCACTTGGGACATTGAGGAGGACTGGGATTTTGTTGTCAGCCTGGACTATACAGCAAAACCCTGTCTCAAAAAAAAGGTTTTCCATTAGCAGTAGGCTCAGGGTTGTTGAGTTATTTAACACTAAAAACTGTTGTGTTGGGGCTGGGAAGGTGGCTCAGTAGTAGAGCGCTTGCCTTGCATGCTTGAGGCCCTGGGTTTGATTCCTCAGCACCACATAAGCAAAAAGAAAAAAGCCAGAAGTGGTACTTGTGGCTCAAGTGGTAGAGTGCTAGCCTTGAGCTGAAGAGCTGAGGGACAGTGCCCAGGCCCAGAGTTCAGGCCCCATGACTGGACCCAAAAAACAAAACAAAACCTGTTGTGTTTTTCATCTATTGTTTTAAAAATATCCAATATTGACATATACCTGGGGGAATAGGAAGGAAACCTGTCCTGGCAACCCAGTTCCTTTGACAATTACGTCCTTCTAAGTGCAGCCAACAGAAACCAACATACTGCCTGGTAAAGGAACAATTAAACAGTGACATAACAACAAAATCCTATACTGGGGCTGGGAAGGTGGCTCAGTGGTAGAATGCTAAAAAATCCTATACTAAAGTGATGTAAACTGGGGATGTAGCTCTGTGGTTGAGTGCTTACCTAGCATGTATAAAACACTGAGTTCAATCCCGAGCAATACAAAGAAATTCTTTCAGATTTTGCTGAGCCTGGTGATATACATCTGTCATCCCAGTATTTGAGATGCTAAGGCAAGAGGATCCAGATTTTAGACCACCTCAGATACAAAGAGAAACTGTGTCAAATCAACCGGGTAAAGGAAATACTCCAGTGTTAAGGGACCTGAATTAGTGAGAATATAGTTGCTGCTTTTTTTTTTGTGGGGGGAGAGGGGGTCTGTAGTAGTACTTGAACTCAGGGCCTGGCCTAGGCAGTCCCTGAGCTCTTGTGTTCGAGGCTAGCGCTCTACCACTTTGAGCTACAGCTCCACTTCTAGTTTTTTGAGTTGTTAATTGGAGATAAGAGTCTCATAGGGTCTTTTCTGCCCAGGCTGGCTTTGAACTGAGATCCCAGATCTCAGCCTCCTGAGTAGCTAGGATTACAGTTATGAACCTGATTTTTAAAAGATTTTTTACTTGTTATTATGAAAGTGATATACAGGGGGTTACAGTTACAGAAGTCAGATACCAGCAGTTGTACAGCAGTTAAATTAACCCCCCTAACTCTACCTTGGCACCTTTCCCTGAGTCTTTCCACACTGATATAACCTTAGAAGTTTTCTTTGCTTTTCTTTTCTTTTTCTGGTCAGTCGTGAGGCTTGAACTCTGGGCTTGAGCGCTATCCCTCAGCTCTTCAGCTCAAGGTGAACGCTCTACCACTTGAGCTACAGCGCCACTTCCAGTTTTTTAGAGGTTTATTGGGGATAAGAGTCTGACCGACTTTCCTGCCTGGGCTGGCTTTGAACCGCGATTCTCAGATCTCAGCCTCTTGGGTAGTTAGTATTACAGGCATGAGCCACTGGCACCCGGCACCTTAGAAGTTTTCTGTTTGGATGTCACCCTTTCTTCACTCTCTCCAAATATGACTGTTTTTTTTTTTAAAGGGTATTCTGTATTCTAAATTGAGCATGTGTTCTAGAAAGAGGAACAGCAATAACAACAAAATGCCTTTTTAGAATGGAAGAGGCTCTTGTAACAGCCTGCATCATACAATAAGTCTATTCCTGATTTGTTCCATCTAGGTTCTGGCTCTGATGACTCCAACAGCCTCAGTGAGGAGGAAAGAGACTTCAATGTGCGACAGGTGTGGAGCAAGTACCCTTTGGATGTACAGAAGGCGTTTGACTATGACAACCCCCAGGACCTGGATTCAGATTGACTTGTAATATCCATGTAGTTCTTCCATAGACTCTTGAGGGATTGGACCAATGTCAAGGCCTGGTGACATCCTTTTGGATTTCTAATCCTTTTGGATTTCTAACTGAACATATGGAGGGAAAAAGCATACCCAGTAACAGGGAAAACTTAACCTAAGAGAATGAATTTTTTCCTCTCACAGTAGAACTCGTTGGCTTCAATCAGAGGTGATCCTACAATGGGAGAAAAATGCTATAAAAATGAAAGTTTCTTTCACTTCCTGGTGTAGGTTTCTTTTTCCCTAGTACAAGTCTGTGCTGAAGGCCAAAGGAGAAGCAGTAAGGTTCTTCTGCCTCTAGTGAAAGCCCATTCACTCTGATGAAGGGGCTGGAAAAGAACTATGTATAGTACAGCCCAGGTAGCAGCAGCTGTTAGGGGAAAAAGTAGACTCTGTCTGAACCATGAGGTTTTAGTAAACAGTCATCTCTTCTTCCCTTCTTGGGATTCTGACAATGATAAACAGATTATTGTCATCTTTTGGCAGTGGTGCCAAGGAACAATATGTATTAATGTGATATTCAGTTGAATAAACACTTTTGGGGGGGGCTTGAACTCAGCATGTGGGTGCTGTCCCTGAGCTTTTGCTCAAGGCTAGCGCTCTACCACTTGAGCCACAGTGCCATTTCCAGCTTTGTCTGAGCAATTCATTAAAACCAGCTGGGGCTGGTTTCAAACTATGATCCTCAGATCTCAGCCTCCTAAGTATCAAGGATCACAGGCATGAGCCATCAGTGCCCAGCTAATATTTTATATAGAAGAAAGCAATTCCTTTAAAACCTTTTTTTTTTGGGGGGGGAGATCCGGTCGTGGGGTCTGAACTCAGCCTGGGTGCTGTCCCTCAGCTCTTCAGCTCAAGGCTAGCGCTCTACCACTTGAGCCACAGTGCCACTTCTGGCTTTTTTCTTTTTGCTTATGTGGTGCTGAGAAATCGAACCCAGAGCCTCATGCATGCAAGGCAAGTGCTCTACCACTGAGCCACCTTCCCAGCCCCCCCTTTAAACCTTTTAAATGCCTTAGTTGTCATATATCTATCTATCTATATACACACATATATATATACATACATATATATATATGTATGTATATATACAGTCCCCACACATACCCACAAAGAAAAAAAGCTGGTGAGACAAGTTTTAAACTTAATCTTACTAAGGATTTGTGTATATATGTATGTGTGCGTGCCAATACTGGGTTTTGAACTCATGCTTTCAGGTAAGTGCTCTACCACTGAGCCATGCTCCAGCTTGGCTAGTGAGTTTGTTTCTGACTCCATTACATGGGAAAGTGCATTACTCAGAAAATGCCTTTGTGGTGTTTTTTGTTTGGTTGGGTTATTTTGTTTTTGTGGTACTGGGTTTTGAACATAGGGCCTTGTGCTTGCTAAGCAGGCTGTACCTTTGAAATCATGTCAGACTTCCAGCCCTTTTTGTGCTGGCTAATTTTGATAGGGTGTCACTTTCTACCTGAAAGCACATTGGATCATAATCACCTATTTTAGGTGTCCTCTTGTTGCCAGGATGAAAGGCACATGGCACCATGTCCAGTTTCCCTCCATTGAGGTCAAGTCCTGTGGACTTTTTTGCCCAGTCAGGCCTTGAAATCTCTTCTTCCCAGTCTCAGCCTACCACATAGTTAATACTTTTTAAAAAGTATATCACTGTATTCAGCTGTGTGTTGAGAAGGGGTCTTGAGAGCTCCCCAGGCTAGCCCCCAACTACCACCCCCCCATGCCTAGCCCCTCCAGAAGCTAGGATCAAAGGTGTGAGCCACCAGTGTCCAACTCCTACATTCTACTGTTTTTGTTTTTGTTTTTTTTGGGGGGGTTGATCATCAATCTTGAACTGTCTTCAACTCTGGACCTATGTGCTGTCCCTGAGTATTTCAGCTCAAGGCAAGTACTCTGCCACTTGAGTCATAGCACCACTTCCAGTTTTCTGGGCTGGCTTTGAACTGTGATCCTCAGATCTCAGCCTCCTGAGTAGCTAGGATTACAGGCATGAGCCACCAGTGCCCAGCTCCACTGCTTTTTATTTTCACATGCTTCTCTACATTGTTTCATTTGTCTATTTTATAAGCCTTTGCTTATATTATTCTCTACATGTCAGAGTGATTCAGTTCTGTGTATTTAGGTCCTACTATTGCAACCAATTAGACTAGCAACAGACCCAATTTTTTTCATTCCAAGTTCCACAAAGGTAAAACTCAATGTTGCATAAATAGGCAACAACTTAAGTGTATAAAAGCCTCTTGCAGGCATAGAAATAAAGGATTAAAAACTATTCTACCATTCTAATGTGTTCAGTGCTTCATATGTATTCAGGTTTTGTCAACCTTGGAAGGACTAACAACTTTATGAAGTATACCCTCAGTAAAAGTGCACAAACTGTACCATTGCAGAAAGGATTAGCACACCAGGAGATGGATTTAAGGAGGCAAACAACAAAGACTTTGTGGGAATTAATTCCACCATGAAGCTTGAGTGCTGTTAGTCAGGCTTTGCTCCCATAGAAGACCCCTGGGGGCAGTCTGTATCCAACACAGAAGAATGTTGTCCAGGTTCAGTAATGAGGAGTTGACATGGCTCACTAATCAAGTGCTAGGGCACCTGGAGTATGAGGCCCTTGCTTCTCCCAGAAACCACTGGGAGGCAGCAAATTCCAAGGATCAGCAGTTTGTGGGTTAGAAAACATTAAAGCCAGGGTCAGGGACAAGCACACACTGCTTAAAGTATTAGCTTCAGAGGTACCCTGGGATTAGTGCCATCTTGGCTCACAGCCTTTGCACAAGACTTCTGTCCTAAGGAAGGAATCTACTATATAAATCCTTAACCCATGACAGGAATGTCCCCCCCATACTCTCACAGAAAAATGACTTAAAAGAAAGGCAACTGATCATACTCCCCTAAATCTTTATTGAACAAATAAATGTTTTTTAAGCTTACTCTGCAACTGGGACCAGTTTGATGAATGAATAGAGAGGGAGATTGTCTGTAGGGTAGGTATGTCAAGCCAACAGGTTCTTCAGGGGAAATGACAGTGGAGCATTCCATGTATGGGAGCATTCCAGAACAGTTGTACAATCCAATGCAACAGCCCATGAAGGAAGATCCAAATAGGCCAAGTCTGTTGTTCTAGCCTTACCCAGTAGCCCAGCTTGAGCACCAAAATTAGTTGCTTCCACTTTTGCAGTTTGCTGGGAAGTCAGATTGAGGTTGAAACAGCAGTTCCACCAGGAGGGAGGGAGGGCATGCAGATGAGGAATGCACTATCCCAAGACCCACCAAGGTAGTCTGGAGTGTAAATAAAACCTGGTGCCGGGGACAGAAGAGAGAATGCAGCCTGGGGTAAGGTTTTCCAAAAAAGAAAATGATCGCTTCCAGCACCAAGGTGGGCTTGCCTGGGTCTGCATAGCAGGCCTTACAGAGAACAAGCTATTTAATGACATGGGTCTGTAAAATGTTCCCCAAGTCAATGACAACTGGTAGAATGCAGGTGATTCACCTGGATTCCAGAACATTCCAGCCCTATTAAAGTTCATTATAGAAACCCAGAGATCAACTATCAACTAGAACAAAGACCTAAGGTTTCATAGGGTTATCCTTCAAAATAATTATTACCAGACTTAGGACTCATCATCATTGTCCATCTGTCTTTGCTGTATCTGAGCCAGATGCTAGTAATGTGACATCTAAAGTGTAATCAGGTACATGATCTTAAAAAGTTCACCTTTCTGGGTAAGACTCAATGGAAGATTGTGGGAAACTTAGTATAAAATCTGCAGCCAGAACCTGACCTGCCACCATACTGAGACATCCCTAGGAGAAGAGAGACTGCATTTGGGGTTCTTGAATTTTTAAACATAATCAGCTTATTATATCCTGTAAACAAATGAATGCTGATGTTCAGCTACAATTGGTGGTTTCAATGAAAAATAACGAATTCAGGAGTTTGAATTTGGTGGCAGCAGTAGCATGTCTAGTTAGCTGCAGAGCTGCTTTCTCTCCAGCTGCAGCATTTTCCCTGCCTTTCTTTCAGGACCTTCATGGGTCATGTTTCCATCTAGGAGGGGCACAGTGAGGTAACCAAGATCAACTCATTATAAAGCTGGTAATTTGCCTATCTTCATAAGGATTTTAACCAGAGTGTGGACATGATCCAAGCAAAGTCAGGACCTCCTCATGGAGATGCATAATCTGTATAAAATGGGAGCTGTGGCTTCCCAGACATACAGACCCACAGCTGAGAAACCAGTCTTGACAAAAATGTTCAGTGAGCCCAGCTGAGACCCTGAAATAATCCCCTGCCATCAAGCCTGTTTGTTTTGAGTGAAATTCCAACACAAGGTCCTCATGAAATTCAGGAACAGAGATACACATGGTTCCCATATCAATTAAATCAGTTTTGCTATTCATGTCACCTCAACCATCCAACAAGCAGGAATGCAATTCTCTCCTGAGGAAAGAAGTCTGAATTACAGGAAGAAATGGTATCATTTCAGGTTTCTAAAGTCAGGTGATTGCACCTAATTAGAGGAAGACTTCCCATAAAGAAGCTCCGCTGTAGAGACTCCTGGTTCAAACCTGTGCTGGTGAGTCACCAGCACAGAATCAACCTAGCACTTCATCTTCCCCTGCTGCAGCTCACCAAGGTTTGTCATGGCTGTACCTACCCACCAGGAGCAAAACTAAACCACCATTCCCCTGCATCTCAGCTTCCCCTCTATCCTATGGTCCCCACCTTCAGGCTGGCCTGAACCCTGAGTATCCTTCCATAGCTTACCAACTGGAAAGCATTAGCCCTGAGCCCCCCTTACAGTCTCTTTTAATTCAGGAGGGTTGGCCCCAGTCTTATCTTGGTGGTTGTGGCCACAACCTTCTGGGCTTTAGGGATGTCATCTTTGGCCTCTAGTCAGTTTTCCTCTCAACCTTTTTCTCTTCAGCTATATCTAGCTCAGTCAGGACGCAAAAGCAAAGCTTCTGGGTGACTCTGGTGATAGTAGCTAAATGAAAATAGAAAAGCATAAAGTTTAGCAAACACATTTAGCTAGTGCCCCAACCTAAACACCAGAAGACTGAAAGTTCATCTGGCGCTCCCTTCCCACCTGTCCCTGGGGCATACTGAAATTGGCTTTGCCCCACCCCCAACCAGTATCTGTTCTCCATTTTATGTCCAGCCAGAGTCTAAGATACTTAAGACTCCTTGTCTTCCCAGGTGAGTGGCATAGTTTAACCCAGAATAGGACACTAATTGTGTCAAGATCAAAAGAGAAGCAGGGCACCAGTGGCTACACCGCCTGTAATCCTAGCTACTCAGGAGGCTGAGATCTGAGGTTCTCAGTTCAAAGCCAGCCTGGGCAATAAAGTCAGTGAGTCTTAGCTCCAATTAGCAACCAGAAAACCGGAAGTGGCTCTGTGGTTCAAGTGGTAGAGCACTTGCCTTGAGCAGGGACATCACCCAGGGCTAGAGTTCAGGTTCCACGACCAACAACCCACCAAAAAAAAGGATCAAAAGAGAAGTATGTGGGTACCCATGTTGACATAGCTAGTGAGTAATGGAGCAGACACTCACCCAGGACATTCCGGATAAACAATGGCCTCCGGGACTCTGGCAGGTAAACACCCATGAAGTAGACAGGGACCCCAGACAGGGCAATCCCAATGCCAATGAGAGAATTGATGGCGTCACTGAAGAGGGGCACGATCACCAGAAACATGGAGCATAGGCAGAACACAATGGGAAAAAACAGGCTCAGCTAAAATGGAAGGAAATGAGATATATGAGATGATGGTACAAGCCATAAGCAAGAAGGTACCTTGGAGAAAGGGCCCACCCCTCTAAACCTGACCTTGAGAGGCCGGGGCCGCTCGGGCTCCTTCCAACGAAGGTAGAGTTGTCCGACAACAGAAAGGCCCACAAAGAACCAGTAGCTGAAGCTGAAGTAGTTGATGAGAAGGAAAACGTCCTCCACAATGAGGTAGATGAGTGTCATGGTGCACTGTGGAGGAGGTAATGGGGAAGAAGAGTGAGCACTGTCACCTCCAGCCAACCCAGAGACTCTACATCCAATCATCTTATACCTGGGTCTCAAATACTTAGGATATAAATGGAAGAAAGGCCTCCAAGCATCACAATGTCCTGTGGCTTTAAAACTGCATAAAAGCAAAATTAATCCATACCCACTTGGAGAGAAGACAGAAGTCACCCTCTCAAAGGGATCTTAGAGGACGGATCAGGGACTGAAGTCTTAGGACAAGGTCCAATTTGCCTAAATGTCAAGCATACATAATATTCCAATCTATCTTTTTCCCTCAAAATAACACAACTTAAGGCAAAAAGATCCTATTCTGCAGAGACATGGAAGGACCCTCTGTATTAAGAAAAATGGTCATGGAAGTGGCGCTGTGGCTCAAGCGGTAGAGCGCTCACCTTGAGCTGAAGAGCTGAGGGACAGCGCCTAGGCCCAGAGTTCAGGTCCACGACCGGCAAAAAAAAAAAAAAAAGAAAAATGGTCAGGCTGGGAAGGTGGCTCAGTGGTAGAGCGCTTGCCTTGCATGCATGAGGCCCTGGGTTCGATTTCCCAGCACCACATAAGCAAGAAGAAAAAAGCCGGAAGTGGTGCTGTGGCTCAAGTGGTAGAGCGCTAGCCTTGAGCTGAAGAGCTGAGGGACAGCGCCCAGGCCCAGAGCTCAGGCCCCATGACCGAACCCCCCCCCCCAAAAAAAAGAAAAATGGTCAGGCTTAGTGGTATATGTCTAATTCCAGCACTCAGGAAGCTGAAACAGAAAGATCTAAAGTGGAAGGAAAAAAAAAAAGAAAGAAAAATCTAAAGTGTAAGGTCAATCTAGGCTACACAGAGAGATTTTATCAGAGAGAGAGAGAGAGAGAAATAGTGGAGGAGTTTGGAGTACAGTTCAGTGGTAGAACACTTGCCTAGCAAGTGGAAGAAGGCCTAGGTTCCATCCCTAGCACTGCATAAATAAAGTATGTGCAGATAGACAGATGGTTTTCAAATCTTGGAATAAGGCCTACCTATAAAACACTTTAGTGCAAATTAGAAAGAACCCTACATAAATATGCCCAAACCCCCACCCTCTGTGAGCACAGCTTACATTGAACAATAAGGCAGGAATGGGTGTGAAACGCTCAATGTGGATCATAGACAGAAGGTCTGGGAGGTGGCCCTCACGGGAGCCCACAAAAAACAACCTGTAAAGATAAGAAATGTGTCAGCAGGATCCTTTTACTCAACCACACAACCATAATCCTTACTTAGATAAACTAGTCTCAGAGCCCCAGAAATAGCAGGGAACAGTCTTTCAGACTCCATGCATGCCTAGCCCATTATGCATGAATACCCACATCTCCACCCTCTTCAACTATTAGCAACCCACCACTACTTGGAATGTACCATGCTACCATTCATTATCCACTGCCCACCCCTCTCCCAATCCTCAGCAGTGAAACTCAACTATCCTTCACCTACACTCCCACAACCAAATACCTCACCAACATCCCATTGATGCTGCATCCTGGCATCACCTACCAGCAGCCCAACCCATCCAACCAGTACCACCCTCACTCTGCTATTTGCAAATTTGTAAATAAATTTGTAAATTTAAATGGCTTTTAAAAAGAAGGGCAGCTGGGCGTCAGTGGCTCACGTCTATAATCCTAGCTACTCAGGAGGCTGAGATCTGGGGATCAAGGTTCAAAGCCAGCCCAGGCAGCAAAGTCCATGAGACTCATCCAACCAACCACCAGAAAACCAGAAGTGGCACTGTGGCTCAAGTGGTAGAGTGCTCACCTGGCTGAAGAGCTGAGGGACAGCGCCCAGGCCCTGAGTTCAAGCCCCACAACTAACCAAAAAATAAGAGCAGCGTCTGTGCCCTTCCATGACTTCATATATGATAGACTACGGTGAACGAGGGGATCAGAGACAACCCAGGCCTCCTCTCCATATCTAAAACACTCCACCAGGCTGGGAATGTGGCTTAGTTGTAGAGTGCTTCCCTAGCATGCATGAAGCCCTGGGTTCGATTCCTCAGTACCATGTAAGTAGAAAAGGCTGGAAGTGGTGCTGTGGCTCAAGTTACGGTAGAGTGCTACCCTTGAGCAAAAGAAGCTCAGAGACAGTGCCCAGTAACTGAGTTCAAGCCCCAGGACTGGCAATATAAAAATAAAAAATAAAATTCTCTACCAGCTGGGAAAATGATCAATGTAGATGAAATATCATCCAAAGTAGCCTCCAACAGCATAGAGAGCACTCACTTATTAGGCTTGAGAGTTGGCTGAGGGAGCAAAAAGCTTTAAAAGAGAGGATCATATCTGAGTTGGGAAGAAGAGCCGGAGTTTTCCAGAACTAAGTGGGCAAATAGGGAACCATCACATTTAAAGACAAAAGACCTCAGAGTCATTACAAAGTGTAGCTCAGCCAAGCGCTGGTGCCACATAATCCTAGGCTACTCAAGAAGCTGACAGCTGAGGACTGTGATTTGAAGCCAGCCCTGGGAGGAAAATCCATGAGACTCTAATTAACCACTCAAAAACCGGAAGTGGCACTGTGGCTCAAAGGGGTAGAATGCCCCCTGGGCACAGGTGGCTCATGCCTGTAATCCTAGCTACTCAGGACATCTGAGTTCAAACCCCATGACTGACAAAAAAAAAAAAAAAATACAGGCCCTAGGCTGGAGGTGATGGAGGTAGGCACCCTGATGAAGGAGAGAAATGATCATCTCAGTTAAATTTAGTGAGTGTGTGTATGTACACAAACGTGTATATTTGCGCACGTTTCAACTGGGGGAAAAGGATGGACATTAAAGGAAAATTCCAGATGCCAAGAGGCCAAGCAATTAAAACAGCCATAATGGCACAACTGGAAAAAAAAATAACATGTGGAATAAATAGTAGATGTTTGTAAGCCACCCAGGAAGAACCCCAGGAACTGATGACACCACCAGAAAAGACATGATAGGGCAAAAGTTTGAGTTGGCTAGTGAGAATTAAGGATTGCATCTGGACATGGTGGCACATGCCTGTAATTCCAGCACTCAAAAGGCTGAATCAGGAGAATCATAAGTTTAAGGCTAGCCTGGGTCCATATAGTAAGTGTGTGTGTGTGTGTGTGTGTGTGTGAGTATGTATGTGTGTGTGTTTATATATGTCTATCATTGGTAAAGTTGACACTCAGTACCTTGATGAAGCAAAGATAGATGCATTAAGGCCCCCAAAGCAGGACAGAGCAACAGCAATAGGGATGGTCCAACTGAACATGCCAAACGTCTGGTCAGCAAATGTCTGGGGACAAAGCACAGGAGGACATTCAACACAGGACAAAGTTTGGAATCAGCCTACATGTATGATATTAGGTCAAAAGCAGTCATTGCTAAGCAACCCACCCTCTGCCCTAGACTTATCCCCTCATACTACAGAGCTGGTCTGGCTGCAGAGAGAAAGAAAGAGGGTCATTTAGTGGGGCTAGATATCATGAGCTGATGATCCTCATTTAAGGATCCCAAGAGACTCACCACAGCCACAGCATCACTATTACGGACATCTGAAATGCTCAGCACTGTGTAATAGGCAACGTTGGTCAGGATGTAGATGAGCATCACAATTGGCATAGAAATCCCAATGGCCAAGGGCAAATTTCTGTTAGGACAAGGGAAATAGGACCACCTAAAACCAACCTCTCCTGGGACCCAAGGTTCATCAAGTATCCACTGGAAGGTTTTAACATTTAACAGTTTATTGGCCACTGGGTCTTTTAAGGCTGGCTCCTCTTCACCTTATATCCCAAGGTGGGTATGTATCTTATGCCCATAGGCTCTTTCTACTGAGTAAGAGAAAAAGAGAGGGTGAAAGAAAAGAGAAAGGGACAGGAAGAGAGGGAGAGAGAAAAGGGATCAAAGGCAAGGAGGGAGGAGCACTTTTCCTGTGAAGATAGCTCCTTGCCACAATAGGTCCAATGAGTCCCACAGAACTTTATGTTCATGCATCTCTGATCTCTGGGGACTAGAAGCTAGGCGACGGAACCCAGCTGGCCAAAAGAAACTCCAGTTCTGCCATTTGTCATCTCAGTACCGGCTGAGATTACAAGGCCCTGAGAGCTCAGCCCCAGCTGAGTCTGCTGCTGGCTTCTCTAAGGAGGATCCTGGGGCTCTCCAGTGGGAACATGAAGGTAGGAGCCAGGGGCCTTCCTACTTTCACTCATTCCTATCCTACCTCTTGATCTCTCCTAACTGGAGAAGGGTGAACAGGAAAATAGGATGAGAGGCAGAGGGAGGAGGCGTGTTCAGGGCAAGTGCACCCACTACAGCAGCAGTTTCAGTCAAGTTGGAGAGTGAAAGTATGATTTTTGCCTTTACCTTTCTGGGTTTTTTATTTCTTCTGTTACAAAATTAAGGGTGTCCCAACCTGAATAAGAGAAGAGGGCAGAGTAGAGGGCAAGAGAGAGGTTCCCCATATCCCAGGAGGAACCCTCAAAGGAGTTCATGAAGTGCCCAGAGTGTCCTATGGAGGCAAAGACAGATGGGGGATTCAGGGAAAAGGAAGAGGTTGAGGAAAAGACATGGAAAATATGTGGAGAAGAGGAAGGATGAGGAGAAAGGACAGAGGAAGGAAACATGAAGAAAGGAAGGAGGGGAAGGAAGATAAAGAGGGGCAAACAAAAAGGGAAAACGGGAAAGAAAAAAAAAAACGTTATTTAACACCAAAAGAACAACAGCCCAAGTTTTCCCCCACACTTTATTACACCCCACCTGTTCACTCAGAAAAGTTCCTATGTCTTCAGGAAAACTGGACAATCTCAGAAAAATAAAGTTCTTCCTGGCTGATGTGCCTTGTTCCGATTTTTTTCTAACACCAGTAGCTGTTCCCCTTAAAGGAGACATTTTCTACTAGCAGTGCAAGGTCTTGGCTCAGATCACGACACAATTTGGTCACATGGGTTTATTAGTCTCACAGACCACTGCTCTATTAGCAGTGGGTGCAGGTTGATAAAGACAGGAAATTACAAGCTAAGAGTAACTGAGGTTTTCTTATCTCATACTGGGTCACCCCCACTCTTCAGGGGGCCAGCTCAGGCCAAGATACCGATATGTCCTTCTCCCTAAAGGCATGTGGAGACTGCAGACCTGAAGCCCAGGGGCAGCACCAAAATACACAGAACAGAGATCTCCTGAACACATTAGGGGTTTTAACAAAGACTCAGCCTTCTAAGGGAACTTGTTACTGACCTCTGTAGAAAGATAGACCCAGATCTCATTGTGGCAAAAAGGCTAGGTATGCAGCAAGAACAGAGAACACAAAGACTCCTGTTCTCCAGAGCTGTCAGGCACTGTACATAGCAGTGGTTCCCTGAGGTTTATCTTGAGGTCTATGTTGATTGCTCGACAATCCAATTTGACCCCAAGATGCTCCTGAGACTCTGGGGACATCTAGATGGTTGCCTGCACTTACTTGGCATGAGCATAGTCCAGAACTCAGATCCTGGACCAACTGCCTACGAATCCCCTAGGGCACTTCATAAAAACACAGCTTTTCGCTTATAGCTTGATGATCAAGCATTTGTATAGTATTCATGAGGCCCTGGTTTAATCCCCAGTACCACAAAAATAAAAACAAACTGGGCACTGGTGCCTCACACTTACAATCCAAACTACTCTGGAGACTGAGGCTGGAGGATTGTGACTCCAAGCCAGCCCAAGCAGGAAAGTCCATGAGACTCTTATCCACAATGAACCACCAGAAAACCAGAAGTAGAGCTGTGGCTCAAAGTAGTAAAGTGCAAGCCTTGAACAGAAAAGCTCAGGGACAGAACCCAGGCCCTGAGTTCAAGCCCCATGACCAACAAATAAATAAATAAACAAACAAACCCAACCTTTTAGACTTAAAGCCAACCAGAGATTGAGTTGAGGGTCTCAGCTCTCCAGGTTATTTTAAACACAGCTGCATTTAGAGTCTGATCATCTAGAGGAAGGGGCTGTTAAATGAGGGAGAAATCCTTGGCTGAAGATCCTTAGGATTTCCCTTTTGAGCCAAAGAGATTATGGGAAGCCTATTATTCTCATGGTCAATTCAGTGTGCTCTGATCCAGAAATGAAAAGCTCTGCAAAGCCAACATTCAGAAAAGCAGTGCCAACTTCACAATATTCTGCTATTTTGCTCAGTGAGCTGGCTTGGGGAGGAATGCTGAACCCAAATCCGGATGAAAAGTGAAGGCTGTAAAATAACCACAAAGCCAACCTCCCAGAATACACACACACACACACACACACACACACACACACACACACACACACA